TTTTAACATTTTTTTTGTCCTTGTGTTCAGCATCTTGACTATGATGTGTTCAAGTATGTTTTTCTTTGCATTTAGAAGTTCTAGTTTCTTGAATGTGAGACTTATGGTTTTTGGCCAGTTTTGAAAAAGAATACTGCCATTATCTCATCAAATGTTGCTTCCATCCACATCTCTCTCTCTTCACTCACCAGCACTCCGATGTTAGATGTTTTCATAAGATCCTATGTGTCTCTTACTCTTTTGTCTGTTTTTTCCAACATCTTTGCTCTCCATGTTTCTGTTTGATATTTTCTATTAGCCCATCTTCTAGTTCACTAATTTTGTCTTCAGGTATAAGAAATACATTGCTAAACACATCTATTACAACGCTTTAATGATTGTGCTTTTTTTGTTGTAAACTTTCCATTTAATTCTCTATTAATAGAGTTCAGTTCTCTGGTGAAATTCTCCATTTTGTCATCTTTGTTCTTGGACAAAATAAACAATTATTTTTTAAATTGATGTCTCATAACTCTAATATCTGGCTTACCTATGGGCCTATTTCAGTTGTCTTCTTTTCTCTCTTAGTCTTAGTTCTTGGAATGTCTAGTGATTGCTGTTAAGAATTTTGTATAAAAAATTGTAGTCTCCAGATAATACTATTTTCCTCTAGAGAGGACTCACCTTATCTTTTATTCAAGGAGCTAGAGTGGGAAGAGATTATATCTATTCAATCCAGGACCTGGTTTTTTGGAGACCAAGTTGGAGTTTTTATAAAATTTGGTCTACCTCATGTTTGCCTCCTCTCCATAGGGTATAGATCTTCAGGAGTCCAAAAGAAAGTCTGCAGATATTTATTGGGACTCCTTCATGGTGGGCCCTAAACTTGATGCTACCAAAAATCTGGCTTTTCTTTATAGCTACATTCTCATCTTTAGGTAGCTTAAGAATTAGCAAATCCTGGGGCACCTGGGTGGCTCAGTTGGTTAAGTGTCCAACTCTTGTTTTCAGCTCAGGTCATGATCTCAGAGTCTTGAGTTCAAGCCCCACATCAGGTTCTGTGCTCAGCGGGGCGTCTGCTTGAAGATTCTCTCCCTCTGGCCCTCCCCCAACTCTCTCTCTCTCTTTCTCTCAAATAAAAAAAAAAAATCTTTTAAAAAAAAGAAGTAGCAAATCCCATAATATGAAATTAAGTGCTAAGTGTGGAGCTCATTTCCTGGCACCCTCCCTTCTCTCAAGAATTCTGCCACTCAAACCCTTGCTATCCTGGCAGCTCTGAACTGCTTTTAAGAACTTCCCTCATTATATTTAGGCTTTAACATCAGATATATGTGGGAGATGCATATATATAATACCAAAAAATGACAACATATACTTACTCAGTTTCCCCCGTTCTCTGGTTGAAAGGGAAAAAAAATCTCATTTAGGCATGTTCTTTACTGTATCCTTACACATGAGGAAGGTGGTTTCCTCCTCCTCAGAAGCATCTATGTCTGTGAAACTCTATCTTAATCCTCTAAGAACACCCCTGTCATTGTTATGATGGTACTCATAAATGGTTTTGTGGATGGTTGTACATGATAAAAGAGTAATAAGCATTTCTTTCCCCTTCTGGGGTCATTTTTGCCCAATAAGATGTAACAATAATAGTCATAATAATACCCACGAAAATTTACTAGGCATTTACTATGGGCCAGGTTTTATGTTAAGTGTTTTATTTAGGTTGTCTCATTTAATCCTCAGAAGAGCCTAGGAGGTAGTAATGGCAATTTTCCTAATTTACACTTAAGGAAACTGAGGCTTTAAGAGGTTAGGTCTTAAACAAGATCCCAGAGCCAGGAAGTAAATGGCACAAGCAAGTTTGAGCCAGACTTTTCAAACCCCAGTGTCTATATTTTTCCAACATTTTGCCCTATCTCTTGACTTATTCTCCTTCAGCATAAGTAGTCTCACAATTTTACTGAGCCCTAGAATTCGGAGATAGTCCCTTAAATAAGGTAAAAGCCAGATAGTCTGAGGAGTTTATATGCAAAATAAATCTCCCTGGTTCATTTCTCGCAGGTATTTCTAGATCCTTCCCTTCCCAACTCAGTCTTACTTTGATATATATTTTACATTAAATATTTCCATTTATAATTTCTATGGCAAATCTGAAAGTAATTTTTTAAAATAAAGCTTTATGCAGGGACAGGAAGCAATTAGTGGTGGGGTTTTATTTTTAGAGGATGAGATGGGGGGGGTAGGGTATGAGGAGAAATTGCTTTCTGCAGTGTCAAATGAGTTGAGTGAGTTATAGGAAATGATAGCTCAGCCGGCAACTTGGTGCTTGCCAGTGAGTCAGCAGTGATTTCATCCTCAGTCTCAACGCTGGAATCACAGATGTGAGAGACACCCTTCCTGGTGAGGGCCCCTCCCTGTCCTGCTGTCTGGGACATCAAGTTTCTGCCCACATGATGTGAACCATTCAGTTACCTGTCATGGTGGAGAAAGAGTCACAGAACTGTCTGCCTCTTGTTTTCACACAGATATTTCTAAGTTTCTTTAGGATTGATGGGTGCTCCTGATTTTTTTCCCCTGACACCCCAGCAGAGATACCCATTGACTTTCCATCCTGAGGATGAAGTTTGGGATTGATGTCATAATAGCATGTTGTTCATACGGCAACATTTCATGTGTTTGTACTGCTTCAACTTTCCAGGGTCTGTATAAATGGCGAAACATGGAAACACGATGGAAAAGTGAGACAGGAAGACTTGACTTTAGGAGAAGTCGTACATTAAAAGAGGTCACCTTGTCATCATTGAAAATATGTGCATGTGACGGGAAGACTAGAACCAAATCATTACAGTTGTTGTGTTAGGATGGTCTGATTGACAGTGATTGTATTTTACCTTCTTTTCTAGGTTTGATAAATAGGCTCAAGTTGTGAAAAACATTCTAAAAATAATCCTTTTATGTTTTAAAATAACTCTCTGTTTGTGGGGGAAAAAATGGCCAAATAGCTTTAATATTTTAGGACATCTTTTTTCCAGACTCTGCCCGGATTCTTAGGTCAAGGTCATGTGCATGGTGTTCAGTAGGGAATGAGTGAGGAGATCTAACTTTGCTCAGAATTTATAGGAGCCAGACATTTACCTCCTTTTCACCCAGTGGAAGGTGGTATTATCCCCATGTTATAAATAAATAAATGAACACTCAGAGAGACAGAAGAAGCTTCCCCAGGTCTGTCAGCTAGTAATTGCGGAGTTCCAACCAAGCCCAAGTCAGACTACTGCCAACATCCACACTTTTTTGACTTGAGTACAAAATGATGCTGCCACGGGTCCCACTCCACAATGCTTTTTGCAGAGCATTTTCGATGTGTTAACTTACTGCTGAATTAATCCTCCATTAAGAAAAAATGTATTGCAAGATTGTTCTGTCTTTTGCAAAACTAGGATTCTAAAATTCACGTATACTTGGTTTCTACTTCAGTTAGAAAGACAAACATTGAGAACATTGCATAGCTTACATACCTGTGCATCTGTGTGTTTGGCATTAAGAAGATAAAAGAGGCATAGTAAGTACCCAGTTGAGTAGTTGGACTCACCCAGAATTTGAAGTGATTCTCATGATTTCTCCTAAAGTTCTTAGGTAGATGAGACTGGAGATAAAGCTAACTACTATACCGTTTGGTATAGTAGCTGTAAGTGATAATTATGGCCGAGGACGGGGTAGTATTGTTGCAAAGTAGAGCATTTACAGTTTCAAAAAAGCCATCCCGTTGGCCCAGCAGAGCCCTAATTTTCTTGTTTAATAAATTAATAACAGCTAAAGATTTTTTAAAATTTTTGACGGGAAATATTATGCAACTAATGCTTAATATTATGCTCAACTAATGTTGAGATGCTGATATACAATATATTGCACATTGTAAATGTACAATTTGATAAAATCTAGCATATGCATACACCTGCGAAACATCACTTCAATAAAGATAATGAATATATTCATTAGTCTAAAAAGATTTTTTGTAATGCTATATTTTTGAAGGAAAAAAAACAGTCACTTAATTTCCTCATTTAATATGATGAAAAGAGCCTGGATGGAGACTCAGGTGATGTGAGTCTGTGCCCTGATCGTGCTCTAAGTAGCTCCCTGAAATTCAGTGAGTCCCTTAATTTTTCCAGCCCATGGTTTTCTCATCTGAAAAATGAGGGGGTTGGACTAGATGGTCCCTAAGGCCCCCTACGGTTCTAAAGTTCAATAAAGCTGAAGGGACAGGCATACTTAGGGTATGGGTTTGTGTCCAAATGGTTTTATGTAAAAAAGTAGACTTCCCCAGTGATCTGGTGTCAGCTGTGCCGCTTCAATCCCGTCCCGCTTGATTGATAGATCGTGAAATCATTTCATTTCTTTTAATTCTCTTCCACCCTGATTCAATGTCATTCATGTCCTTGCTTCCATGTTGGACTTAGTAAGCTAAGGGAACTTAAGTTCTACTTAAGAATTTAGGGCTAAGGCTTGAGTAATGCTGGGAATTTGGCAATGCCTTTAGCAAGGATCTGATGAGGGGCGACAGGACCATCAGCTCCCTGGATATTTGTGAGACAGCTTGGGCATTTTTTGGGGCGGGGGGGTGTACAGAGACAAGCTGTACTGGATGTATTTCAGGCTGGGGGAAGGGAAGCAGATTGGAGTTTAATTAAAATTCTAATCCCAACTTAGCCCATTTTCTTGCCAAGTCAGCAGCCAGCATTTCTGTTTGTGGTTCTGGTGATCTTGCTGCGATGACATACATAGTTACCTCAAAAACTCTTGCAAATGTGCCTAAAACTTCAATGTGCTCACCAGATACTTTAATCAGACCTGGCACATTGCCATCTTTGGCCTGTGTTTTCAGAGATACCTCACCCACCACTGCCAGGGCTCCTGGTGGCAGGGGGGCACTGGAGAGAGCTCATGGTGAAAATTGAACTGATTACAAATGAGAAAGTTTCATCACAGCATAGAGATCTTTCTAAATCATTTCTGTTTTCCAGGCAGCTAAGTGGGATTTCTGAGGAGGGGCTGCTCTGACTTCATCTTGGCCCACCATGAGGTTCTTCCTGCTTTGTGCCTACATGCTGCTCCTGATGATTCCCCAGCTGAGGGCAGTCAGCTTTCCTGAAGATGATGAACCCCTCAATACAGTTGATTATCACTGTAAGTAATCTAAAGAGCATTCTTTTCTGAGAAGGGAGTTTTGGTTTTGATCCTCTAAGTGTATTTGTTTTTAGAAAGAGAGTTTTATATGTCTTAAAACTGTTTTTGCACATTAATTGATCCAGAGTCCTTTCTTAGTGTTTGGAGAAAATGGGACAGCTTTGTTGGTTGCTTTTCTAAAGCAACCCATATATAGGTTATATATTTTCTGTTAGAAGAAAAAGACCATTTGCTAACATTCACCATCTTTTATTCATTTGTATTCAAGACCTTAAGAGAGGAATTTAGTTAAAACCCTTCTACAACTAGTATATACAGCTAATCAATGCTGTATATTGATTCTTCAGCTCCATAATCCTGACTGATAGTTTAGCCCATTTTTACTTGCAGATTCAAGGCAATATCCGGCTTTTAGAGGACGCCCTTCAGGCAATGAATCCCAGCACAGGCTGGACTTTCAGCTGATGTTGAAAATTCGAGACACACTTTATATTGCTGGCAGGTAATTTTCCTCTCGTTGGTTTATTAGATTAAAATTCTTTTCTCTTGTGGTGCTTGCATTAATGTGTCTAGTTCATGAAAAACTAATATGTGATTGTGATCAAAAATTGCAAGTAGCCAAAAATATTCCCTGAGAAGAGTCAGTGTTGTGTTACCAGGAACAAAATACAGAGCTAAAGCCTTCAGCAGTGCTATTTTATTACTGCCATCAAGCAATCATACACCATTCTTTATTACTAAAGCAGCAGGGGGAAAAAAAATCTTTCTTTATTCTTTTTTAACTTGGAATTATTCAAGCAAATATTAGAAGTATGCCTATGCTAATACCAAGTAGCCGTTTGACCCATGCCTGAAGAGAAGAGCTTTCTTTGCTCCCTAACCACAGTGATATATAAAAGCATCTCACTAATGAAAAAGTCCTCTTTGTTGACTTTGTTGTTGGAGACAGAGAAAATCCACATGATCTCCAAAATACAATAAAGGCAGATCTATAAAAAATAAAATAAGCAGCAGCTTAACATTTTTATGCATTCACATGATATGACTTACTGCCTTGTTTCCAACAGGGATCAAGTTTATACAGTAAACTTGAATGAAATCCCCAAAACAGAAGTAATACCGAGCAAGGTGAGCAAGTGAAATTTATTTGCATTCCCTCAGAACTTGGATAATGTCTCCATCCCGTCCAAAAATTTTCACTTAAAAAATTTTCACTTAAAAGAGTTCACTTAAAAAAGAACTTTGGTTTTGCTTGATTAATACAGAAACTGACATGGCGGTCAAGACAACAGGACCGAGAAAACTGTGCTATGAAAGGCAAACATAAAGTAAGTAAAACAGATGAGTTATCTGCCAGAGTTAGTCTTTATGTGGGCTTCACCCAACAATGTCAGCATATGGAATGTCTAATAGTAATTTAATTATTACTTTCTTTAGGATGAATGCCACAACTTTATTAAAGTTTTTGTTCCAAGAAACGATGAGATGGTTTTTGTATGTGGTACCAATGCATTTAATCCCATGTGTAGATACTATAGGGTGAGTATATTTCATATGGTGTGCTTTTTTTATCAACTTTTTTTTCTTCGCTGTCATGCTGTTAGAGTTGAATCCTTTCTGCTGTAACCCATTTATCTCTAATGCTATGGAAGAATAAAGACAAAATTCTTCAAATAGAATTTCAGTACAAATAAAGCAGTATTGCCTTCAAACAGGTACACTGAACAGATGTGACACCAGCTATTTATTTTTCTTTTATAGTTGAATACCTTAGAGTATGACGGGGAGGAAATTAGTGGCCTGGCAAGATGCCCATTTGATGCCAGACAAACCAATGTTGCCCTTTTTGCTGGTAAGATCCTTTACTGTAATGAATATAAATGATTAATGACATTGAAGGTAAAAGGGAATTTAAAGGAAGAAAAAAGCTCATAACTGGGGTAGCTAACTTGTTATAGGTGTTTCATAGTCTAGGAGCTAGGAAAAAAATTTCCAAAAAAGAGGATTTAAAAGTGAGCATATTATAAGTATTCTGACACTGAGCTCTGTTGTTAACTAGGTCAATGACCCTGAATAAGTGGCTTAGCTTTTTGATACTTAGATCCTTAATCTGTAAAATGAAGTGATCCCAGGGGGCAACCTGTCACAGGTTGATTATGAGGATCAGGTCTAGGTTGATTTGTATATATAGGGATAATAGTTGAAAGCACTCCAAAAGGTATAACACACTACATAGGATAACACACTACAGGATAATTATGGTTATTTTACCCAAATTATAACTCTGGTTTCAGATGGGAAGCTATATTCTGCCACAGTGGCTGACTTCTTGGCCAGCGATGCTGTTATTTATCGAAGCATGGGTGATGGATCTGCCCTTCGTACAATAAAATATGATTCCAAATGGATAAAAGGTACCCTTGAAAAGCAGCGTTGTGGGATTGCCAAGGGTAGTGGGATGGCCAAGTGGGACCAGGAGCCATGGCATCAGGAGGCTTAGTGCATGACTTTATGTTGTTTATTTAGAGCAAGTACAAGTTGTTTTGGTTGTAAGCGGGAGCATTGACAAGGAAAGAGGAAATAAGTAGCCACGTCAGGAAAGTAGATTCATCTACAGTTATATCCCGGTTGACCTCAAAAAAGAAAGATCTCATTTCTGTGTGCCAATTTGCCTACCTCTGAATACACATAATGTTCCTTGTCCACTCCCATCTACCTATCCTCCAGAGTTAACACTGAGAATCGATTAGTTCATCTCCGCAGAGTCACTTTGTTCTTTGGAGTCTAGATACCAAGATTTTTCATTCTCCATGTAAGAAGTTTTCTTCCCTAGTTAAATAGGTTAATGAATAAATCTGTTGAAACAAAGACCTTTGCTGTAGTTCAGTTCCCATAGGCTTTTTACAGTCCATTAGCTGACATAAAAGACGGTGGGTTCCTTGAAGCTTCAACACACCCATACTAGGACTCCTTGAGCGCATTGGTGTATTGGGATTCTCACTAGTTTGTGTGTAGCTACGTCGTCTGTCCATCATGCCGAGCAGCCGGGGTCTTGTGCTAATTGAACTATCCTTTAGGAACCAGTTTGTTTTCAATTTCTCTTTCAGAGCCACATTTTCTTCATGCCATAGAATATGGAAACTTTGTCTATTTCTTCTTTCGAGAAATTGCTGTAGAACATAATAATTTAGGCAAGGCAAGTATATGCACTTGACTTCTATCCTGGACTTGTACTGCATGGAATTGAGCCCGCTTTGGTAGAGTTATGCTCTTTGCGTGGTTTCCAGCACTCAGTGCATTTAGGGCCAAGTGCAGAGAAGTGAATTGCTTATCATGAAAATAATTGCTGGAAAACACCTGAACAATGGCCAGCGTGAGAATAGCAGCCTTGGGCCTTGAGATGGTTTCATTTTTTCTGTCATTGCCGAGAGTGTTCTACAGGCACCCTTGAGCTATGGATGCTTCTTTAACGCTTTAGAAATCTGTTGATAGTCCGTTCTCTCTCAGCATCAAAAGGCAGGATGGAAAGTAGAGGCCCCTATTCAATTTTGAGGGCTTCAGTAAAAGCCCGTACAATTTTAAAGCATCGCAACCTCGTTTTGCCAAGTTTAAGGATGGCACATTTCATTAGTGATCTAAGAGACCAAGTGGGAGACCCAAGTGTGGGGATGGTTCGCATTCCCCCAGCCAGATCGACAGCTCACTTCTTGGGGAGCTCGTTTGGCAGAACAGGAAAATGGCCCTCTTTTCTCCCAGGTAAATCTAGTCTACCTTCTTACCAGCCAAATCCCTAGAGAGAAGATTGCTAGATTCTTTCGAGCCAGACGTATCTTTAGCACTTTTGTGTCCCTCCCTTAAATAGCAGCTTTTCCTTTCTGTTCCCCCTCCCTGCGCATAACCCTGTGGCTTTGCTCTGGTCCCTTGGGCAGGCTGTGTATTCCCGTGTGGCCCGCATCTGTAAAAATGACATGGGTGGCTCCCAGCGGGTCCTGGAGAAACACTGGACTTCATTTCTGAAGGCTCGGCTTAACTGCTCTGTCCCCGGAGATTCGTTTTTCTACTTTGATGTTCTGCAGTCTATTACAGACATCATACAAATCAATGGCATCCCCACTGTGGTCGGGGTGTTCACCACACAGCTCAACAGGTGAGAACCGAGCCCTGACACTTCTCAAGCTGTTCTGTGCTTGCTTCTGGGACCCAGGAGTGGGCCTCCTGTTGCTGGTTGCTTTCCCTGATGTTGTACCCCTTTGCAGCATTCCTGGGTCTGCAGTGTGTGCATTTAGCATGGATGACATTGAAAAAGTATTCAAAGGACGGTTTAAAGAACAGAAAACCCCAGATTCTGTGTGGACAGCAGTCCCCGAAGACAAAGTACCGAAGCCAAGGTAAAGAAAAAAAAGAAAGTGCTTTTTGTCTTTAACAAAACCCTCTGGTCACTGGAAGCATCCATCCTCAGAGAGCAGGGGGGCCAACCTCCCGTGCCAGGAAGGGGTCCCCGGGGCTGGGGTGGGGGGGGCACTGCAGATAGAGCCAGTCCACTGAGCACCACAGGGGTGAATGCGGAGCCTGCTGAGCACAGGGGGAGAGTGCTACTCCTCTGGTTTTGCCCATTCTCCTTTCTTTCTCAGCCTCTTCTTTCAGAATGGACACTTCTCCCTTAGATACAGTTTGTGAGGGGGGAAAAATACACTGTTTTCCTTTCAGGCCTGGCTGTTGTGCAAAGCACGGCCTTGCCGAAGCTTATAAAACCTCCATCGATTTCCCTGATGAAACTCTGTCGTTCATCAAATCCCACCCGCTAATGGACTCTGCCGTCCCACCCATTGCCGACGAGCCCTGGTTCACAAAGACCCGGATTAGGTAAGACCACTGGAACAGCAGCCCCTCCCCTCTAACACCTTCTCTTCCCATTGGCACCCCCTCTGACTTGGCCTACCTCCCCTGGCAGGTACAGACTGACGGCCATCGCCGTCGACCACACTGCTGGGCCCCACCAGAACTACACAGTCATCTTTGTTGGCTCTGAAGCTGGCGTGGTGCTTAAAGTTTTGGCAAAGACCAGTCCTTTCTCTTTGAATGACAGTGTATTGCTGGAAGAGATTGAAGCATACAACCATGCAAAGTAGGTGTATTTTACGAGAAGGCTTTTCAGCGCGGCTCAAAACTTTCCGGCGTGTATTTCATCTAGTAATTTCCTTCGCGCCCCAGAAATTAGCAGTGGTTGGGCATATTAGTGTTTGGTTTGGTTTTGTCTTTCCTTAGTGAAATAAATCCTGAGTTTGTTGTTTTTCCTGAGTCCACTAGGGCTAGGATGGTGGGCAGTGGATTAGTTTAAAAATAATTCAGCCCTCATTTTTTTCACGTGTGGGCAATGATAACATGTTAGCAGCCACCCCTGATACCCTGCAGGTTTATTTTCGGCTGCTACCTGCAGCAGACAATTGGTTGCAAGTATGCACATGCGCACGCTCACAATACAAGTCTTCCAACCACTGATATAAAAGATAACTGGACCATTAAAACAAACAAGAAGTAGGTGAGAGAAATGGAGCAAAGGAGACTAAAGAGAGATCAGAAACATCTAGCCCAGCAAGATTTAAGTGCATTGAAACCCTGTCCTTTTTCCTTCCCTGTGGTCTAAAGTGGTCTTCACAAACATAGTTCCCTTCTGTCACCAGAGCAAGAAATCAATCTTAAAAAAAAACATACAAAAAAAACTCTTTGTCCAACCTGAAGTTTAACCAATTCTGCAGAGCAGCAGAAGATCAAACACAGAATTATTACTTCCCAAACTATGTACTTAACTGGTTTGCTACTGAGAATATCCCTCAGGATCTCCCAGCTCTTAGTAATTGCAAAGCCAAACCCCACTTGCCTTGCATATTTTGTGTAGCTTTTGACTTCCTAAACATAGGCCTTCAAATGTGTCCCCAAATACAGGTGTAATGCTGAGAATGAGGAGGACAGAAAGGTCATCTCATTACAATTGGATAAAGACCATCACGCTGTGTACGTGGCGTTCTCCAGCTGCGTTATTCGCCTTCCCCTCAGTCGCTGTGAGCGTTACGGATCCTGTAAAAAGTAAGCTGATGTTTCTTTCCTTACCGTGGGTCTTGCAGCATCGTGACCTTTGATGATGAGAAAATCCAAGTTCCATTCTGTTTGGTTTTTATACAGGTCTTGTGTTGCATCTCGGGACCCGTACTGTGGCTGGTTAAGCCAGGGCACCTGTGGCAGAGTGACCCCAGGGATGCTGTAAGTATGCTCTGTCACATTAGCCAGGATCTTCTGAGAGCTGCCTCTGTCTTCTCTGGGGTCTCTAAAGCTAGACATTTGAGAAAAATTCCAGTAGTACTACTTTTGTTCTTTTCTTCCTCTCTTTTCTTTTTTTGATATGGGAGAAGTAAAAAAGAAAAAAGAAAAGAAAGAAAATAAGAAAAAAGAAAAAAGATCTGGGGCTGTAATAAGGAAGGGAGATTGTAGACAGGATAATACCTGAGGGAAATGGATGGAGAGAACAAACAATTCTCCCTCCTCTCTTAAACATTCTAGTGGCCAGATGTTGAAAGAAGAAATACTCGTTTTAGCAAGCTGTGTTGAAATGTCCATTTTTTTCTCTCTGCCCATTCCTACTAATCGGTCTGTGTTCTTGGTTCTGCTCTGGTTGTCACTTGTGTCCCTATGAAGGCTGTTAACCGAAGACTTCTTTGCTTTCCATAACCACAGCGCGGGAGGATACGAACAAGACGCAGAATACGGCAACACGGCCCACCTAGGGGACTGCCATGGTAAGCCCGGATCTTCCTTCTCCTTCTGGCATTTCTTTTTGACCACATTTGCACGTGAACATTATTTTACAATCAGCCTTTTAATGGCTCAGGACACATACCACCTAGCATTTAACTTAAACTTCGCAAAAGCTGAGCTGTTTGGTCATGGGGATGCGTTAGAGAAGAATCTTACCTTTTTTTTTTCCTTCACCGTTTACAATTTTGTAGAAAATAGAGAAAGGTAGTCTAACCAGTAGGTTAATCTTTTAATTTAGAGTCTTTTCTTTTGACTTTTTTAGTTAATTGGAATTCATAAATTTTGCTTTATTTTGGTTACTTTTTACTGATTACTTGTTCCTTTAATTCTTTTAGAAATTTTGCCTACTTCAACTACACCAGATTACAAAATATTTGGCGGTCCAACATCTGGTTAGTTTTTTTTAATTTTTTTGAATTAACAACCTTTTCTTTCCTTCAGTTCAGCATTTTCAGCCCCTTCTCCCCTCCTTTTGCGCAGTTTGGCAGCCTTTCATGTTTCTGCTTTGACTCATAATCCCGCCGATGGTACTGAAAGACTTTTTCTTACTCAGCACTCCACCCCTGTGTAGCATGTTAACAGTTCATCATTGACCAAGGCACATCCCGTAAGAAAAATCAAATGGATTCACGTAGACTGCATTCCAGCTGCACGCCCGCCCACCCAAGCTTTTCTTCTCTCTCACTCCTCTGCATTGTGGATGCTCCCTCTGGCCATCTATACTGAATGGATGGCAGAATTTCATTGTTTCCCCCTTCTCTCCTCACCTTTCCTAAGGCCTAGTAAACAAATACACATTTCCCCAAAATGTGTATTTATACATTTTAGACATCTTTTTTTTGAATGGTTTGCAGTGAGCCCGGGAATCTTTGAATGTTGTGGTCTCGGTGGTGTGCAAAAGGCTCCTGTTGAATGAAGCTGGTATCTGATGTATGAAGGTGTTCAGTGGGCTCTCCAGGCCCGTCTGTCTGTATCTGTTTTGGAGTCTTCATCTGCGACCATTGCACCAGTCTGAACGGGGGTCTCCAGAATTTTAACCTAAAACCGTATGCTTACATTCTGAGGGGAAATCTACTTTGTGGAAATCAGTAACACACGTGCTAAGAGGTTCAGTTCCTTCCAGTCCTCCTGCTGCTTCTAAAGCTCACAGCAGTTTCATTCCTGAAAAGGGAGAAAAGGATGCCAGATCTTATGTATCAGAGCATCCTTATTCAGTTTATAAATGCCATTTCTTTTGCATGAGTTGCTGCTAATTCTTTGGAGGAAATTCCCTGAGCATGTTGAAAGGCACAGGTGAGGTTCCTCCCTGCTTCGGTGCTTTACCACGGATGATGTGAGGCCTCACTGCACAGATGGACGGGAGGTCCATGGTAGACGCACAACAACCTGCTCCAATGGGTCAAAAGTCAAGTGTTCACGCAGATGTTTCCTGATGAAGTTACCCCGTAGGTTCCCCAGTGAAGGATCCACAGTTTCCAACCGTCCAGGACAATGCTTTTAGACATAGACACAAAAAGAAATGAACTGATACTGTCTCACAAAAAGACGAGAAAGTAGCAGTTCATCTTTGGGATTTGTATTACCTTTTCCACAAGGGTCATTCATCACATAGGGGCTTTGGTAGGAGCATTTTCAGTGTCTCTAGTTTTGAAATCTGCTTAATTTGTCTTTATGGTTAATTTTTAGTTTTTCTTTTTCCCTTGCAAGAAAGAGGTTTGGTATAGTCTCTTTGAATGTGTTTTTTTATGAAATCCTAGAACAGGCTTTCTCATAAAATTGATTGAAACTTTACTTAAAAATGCAACAGATCAGAGAACTCTGTCAGCACTACCCACGTTAATAAAAATCTGTTTGCCACCACAGACATGGAGGTATCTTCATCATCTGTTACCACAATGGCAAGTATCCCAGAAATTACACCTAAAGTGATTGATACCTGGAGACCTAAACTGACGAGCTCCCGGAAATTTGTAGTTCAAGATGACCCAAACACTTCTGATTTTACTGATCCTTTATCAGGTATCCCAAAGGGTAAGGCCTCACCAGGGAACTCATCTCTTGCTGAGTGGAAACCTGATTCCTGATATCTCTGAGGAGCTAGTGGACGTAGGGTTTCCCGGGGATGGACTGACACAGCTCTGCTGTTACTCACGCCACCTCCCCTGGCTGCCCTCACTCCGGTTTCTCTGCTTGTATGGAGTGCGTCCCTTCACAGACCAAAGAGGTGGAAAGCCGTGAAAGAAAGGGGTGAGAAGATGGCCCCTCAGACAGTCTAGTCCGTGTGGGTTTCTGCCTGAAGACGCTGAGAGGCTGCTCGGTGTCAGAGAATTTCCAGGACCACCCCAACAACATCAAAAACCAAACTCATTAATTGCAAATATCCTGGTATCAGATGTTTTGTCTAATAGCCTTTCCCAGCCTTCTGTTTAGCTTCGATTCCATATGCAATATGAAAAGGATATGCAAGGTGCTAGTGAGCTGCTTGAATGTCACAAGCAATAAAACATATCAGAGCACTTGTCCATAACTATCACTTTCAGCCTTTAATAGAAGCAGTTATAAAACAGCTGCCTGGTGAGCTAGCTTAGTAGACATATTACTCTGGGGGAAAAAAAAAAAATCTCTTCTTTGGTGCTTAGCAAACTACGGTATCAGGTTTCCAATCAGTTTTTATGCCAGTACATTGTCATTTATGATTTACGTCTGTGGATTTGGGTTTTACACGTTTTCATTGTAAACAGTTTTATAATCATTCTTTCTGTTTTGTTTCCTTCAGTAGTATCATTTCCTTCTACTTTTCTTTCTTTGTCTTTCCCAATGTCACTGAATTCCATAATCCCAAACATTGATTAAAAGCAACTAATGTTCAAAGGCCTTAGTACTAACCTAAAGCAACAGAATCTTCAAAATTACACTGATTTAACCTTATCCTGGGATAGCTGTGCTTATAGCATGTAACAGACTTGGATACCTCTTGAACTAACATTTCTTTGATTGACTGTTAGATGTCTGTGGTTGCATTAAAAATCCCAATAATTACAAACTAATCCACTCTTCTTCTAGTCTAACTTAAATATTTCTTAAATATCTCAAGACAATTGGATAATATCACTTAACTACTACATATTATACTTCTCTAGACTCTCTGGATTTCTTTCATGGCAAGCAATTCAAGAGTAATTCACTCCAAGATGGAATGAAAAAAATATATCAAAGCAAACATGGAAGTCCGTATTTGTAGCTAGCAACGACCAAGCTGGCGCTTTTTGTTTGTGAACCAATTGTGTGTCTTTTCTAGTTAAGATAGCATAGTTATTTTAGCATACTTATTTTAGCATAATGTACATTTATGCCAACCCATACACTTTCCTAATTCCAGCAGTTGCCCAGTAATCCTGACTTATGAATTTGGAGAAAATCATGAGACAAAACACTTCGAAGCATTTCTAAATTGGCCATTTAGAAAATACGTACTTTCTAACTCTAATTTTTAGACCCCCAAACACTTAAAATTTTGAATGTTAGATAACAACTACTTAGGAGGGATTTCGGGGAAAAACACATACATACGGATCAGTGGGAGATCAGAGTTATCCTGGCATTTGCAGCAATCGTGTATGTCTCTGGGGATCCGATCATGACTCAAGAAAAATATATAGATGAGATTTTGAGAGTCTCCCTGACCCTCCAAGCTAAGCATATGGACCATGTGAAGGTAGTATTGGCTCAGTGGAAGCCATTTGCTGGCTAATATCGTTGGAAAGAAGTACCTCACTCAGACTCTCTTCCTGCATGTCTGTTGCAGGTGTACGATGGGAGGTCCAGTCAGGAGAGTCCAACCAGATGGTCCACATGAATGTCCTCATCACCTGTGTCTTTGCCGCTTTTGTTTTGGGTGCATTCATTGCAGGTGTGGCAGTATACTGCTATCGTGACCTGTTTGTTCGGAAAAACAGAAAGATTCATAAAGATGCAGAATCTGCCCAGTCATGCACAGACTCCAGTGGAAGTTTTGCCAAACTGAATGGTCTCTTTGACAGCCCGGTCAAGGAATATCAACAGAATATCGATTCTCCCAAATTGTACAGTAACCTGCTGACCAGTCGGAAAGAGTTGCCTCCCAGTGGAGATACTAAATCCATGGTGATGGACCATCGGGGCCAACCTCCCGAACTGGCTGCTCTCCCCACACCTGAGTCTACACCTGTGCTTCACCAGAAGACCCTGCAGGCCATGAAGAGCCACTCAGACAAGGCCCATGGCCATGGGGCTTCAAGGAAAGAAACCCCACAGTTTTTCCCTTCTAGTCCACCACCCCATTCCCCATTAAGTCACGGGCATATCCCCAGTGCCATTGTTCTTCCTAATGCTACTCATGACTACAACACGTCTTTCTCAAACTCCAATGCTCACAAAGCTGAAAAGAAGCTTCAAAACATTGACCACCCACTTACAAAGTCATCCAGTAAAAGAGATCACCGGCGTTCTGTGGATTCCAGAAATACCCTCAATGATCTCCTGAAGCATCTAAATGACCCAAACAGCAACCCCAAAGCCATCATGGGAGATATCCAGATGGCCCACCAGACCCTAATGCTGGATCCTGTGGGACCTATGTCTGAGGTCCCACCCAAGGTCCCTAACCGGGAGGCATCACTATACTCTCCTCCTTCAACTCTCCCCAGAAATAGCCCAACCAAGCGAGTGGACGTCCCCACCACTCCTGGAGTCCCAATGACTTCTCTGGAAAGACAAAGGGGTTATCACAAAAATTCCTCCCAGAGGCACTCTATATCTGCAATGCCTAAAAACTTAAACTCACCAAATGGTGTTTTGTTATCTAGACAGCCTAGTATGAACCGTGGAGGGTACATGCCCACCCCCACTGGGGCAAAGGTGGACTATATTCAGGGAACACCAGTGAGTGTTCATCTGCAACCTTCCCTCTCCAGACAGAGCAGTTATACCAGTAATGGCACCCTTCCTAGGACGGGACTAAAGAGGACACCGTCCTTAAAACCTGATGTGCCACCAAAGCCTTCCTTTGTTCCTCAAACCACGTCTGTCAGACCACTGAACAAATACACTTACTAGGCCTCAAGTGTGCTATTCTCCGTGTGGCTTTATCCTGTCCATGTTGTTGAGAGGATGATGTTGTAAGGGTACCTTAAGATAAGAGACTCCCTTGTATTTTAAGAGAACCAAGTGGCCAAAGAAACTTATTTCTAACTTTGGCAACATCAGAACTTGCCACATGTAGCTACTACAGCAAAGCTTCTGTGTACTTGCGGGAAAACAAAGGAAGGTGCTGGTCATTCCATTTCTTTTGTTTGAAGCTAAAGAGATGTGTAGCTCCCAGGGGCTACCTTACCAGCAGAGAAAGCTGATACAGTACTCAGAAGAATCTGTGAGCAAATACTTGAAAATGGGTTCAACTTAGACTACCGTTATGTGTGGTCTTCCCATTAAATGTGAACATTTTAATTGTATGCATTCACCTTGCCTCTTGCACAAATGTCAAAAAACAATGGTAATGTCTCAAAGAAATGAACTTGTAGATTACCAAACGATTTGCTAAAAATTCATTCTTTGACCCAAACTGTAGCATTTTTTTCAAGTGTGGCATTCTTTTCATGCCACCAGTGAACTGTGGTGCGTGTGCGTGTGTGTGCGTGTGTGTGTGTGCATATGTGTGTGTGAGTGTGTGTGTGTTCTCTACCCACTAGGATTTGTTTTGGTGCCCATTGCATCTTTTTGTGCTATGGACTTGTTTACATTGAGCATGACTGAACAAGAGACAATAACTTCTTCCCACAGCAGTCCATTGGGCTCAGCTTTGAGAAAAGAAACAAATAAAATCAAGGCTGATTTGACCATCAAAATGATTCACTTGACTCACATGGTCCCCAATGCCAGAATGTAAGAGTTCTAAGTAATTTTGTGCTGCTATTCATTAAAACTTCTATTACAGTCTTGCTAGCTTAAGGAGATAGAGATGTTAAGAGGTATCCTTGATTTATCCACCAGTATTCAGTAGTAAAATTTACCTGTCCACTGTGAATCCAAACCTGACTCACTGTATTTAACCTTGGACACACTAATAAGGTTTTATTTTGATGTTGTTTAGTTTCTCCTGTGTAGTATAATTTATCTCCCTTTAACTCCTCCTACCCCCAAGATAAAAGAACAAAACAAAACAGAAGACAAAAGAAGGAGATGGGAAAGGGTTTCTAATTGGCCTAACAGAGAGAGTCTCAAAACCGAACAGTGGTGCAATCATGTTGTCTATGTTGTGTTATATGAGAATTTTCTTTTAAGTCATGCAGGTAATGACAATATACTGTAAATATTACATGTGAGTTTACCTGAATCTGTGCATTTTGTGCCTTATTCATGAGAATAATAGAAGTACTAAAATATGTCAAGTGTTTTCAGTATAGCACATCATTTACCGAGTGCCAGTTGTAAATGTTTTTCAACCAGCACCTGAAAAGACTTTTAAAAAATCGTGAAAACAACCTAGAACGATTAATTGTCCAACAATCCACCCAAATAGCAGCATTACATCCTTTGCCATGATAAACATTCCACTCCTGCTTTCCTAAGGATGAAACAGTGATAATGTGAAGTCAAATGAGGTTTCTCGGGTAATGTGACACCTGCGGGAACCGTAGAGTCATTTATTCGTAGTTTTGCAGAAGCTACTTACAGTTGATGATGTATAACCCCGATGACTGTTTCAGTTAATATGCTGCACACCACACCATGGTTTATTGAACCTAATCTAGAAAGTACCAAGGCAGAGGAATGCTCCTGACTTAGACAAGTAAGTTCAACTGATTTCTTGTGATAACACTGATGGTCTGTATCACTTGGGGGAGGATGGGTTGCAGAAGACCAGAGCATTTTTATACAGATTATAGAATACTGATACAGTTATTCTTTTCCTTTGAGAATATTGTTTTATAAGGAACGTGATTCCCTGAGATCTCTGGAAACTCAAAAACTAGAAAGAACTTCTGTTCTTGAAACACGTCAGCTTTGCAACTAAAATATTGCAGATTAATAATAAATTAAACCAACCAACGATAAACACTACTCAGCCCACCGCCAACAAACGTGTTTGAATTCACCTTACCAATATTAATCCCACCGTGTGGAAAATGGAATAGTAACTCTATGTGAACCCGGATAACATTTTGTAACATTGTGCTGCCTTGTAGTTTGTAATGTGAGTTCTATCGGTATTTATGTTGATATTTCTAACATAAAATCTAGTCTCTATCCTGTTAATTTAATTTTTAAATGCTTTATCCATTTGTGCAAAGGTAAACACAGATTGTATCTTTTTTAATGGTACGGCATAAAAAGTAACCCTAAAGTGAAGTGGCTCTATACTGTTTTATAGAGTACTTTAACATGTATAGATATCTTGTAAACTTGTATTGTGGATGTGTAAATAATATGTACTTTGGGTTTTTAACACCGCATGTAAAGTCAAAATAAAATATACAAATCATTATATCCTGCCTCTTGATATTGAAGAGGTTTATGACTTGCCATGTTTAAAAAATATTTTAGAGTCAATCAGCACCACTGAGAGTTTCTTTTAAAATGTACCAGAATATTCTTATCTGGAATATTTGCTACTTGGTCATGGTTCCGCCACCGTTCTCTTCTTGGGAAGCTGATACTGATGGGTAGAGCCCCTGAGAAACTGAGAAATGAGGCAGAAAGGCCGATGAACTGTGCCTCCATCAACAGGCAAATGCTTTAGGCAGACGTACCAGCGACTCGCCTTGCCCACACACCTAGTTTGACAGGCAGTTTTAAAATGCATGATTTGTATTCCCACGTGAAAATTTTGATGTCCTTTTAGTCCAAAATTACAGCTGGAAAACCAGGTTCCTGTGAACATTTCATGCTATTTGGTAGACGGCCTTTCTCCATCCCGTTGTTTTAATCAAACAGACTACGTTAAGAGGTACCTTCCCCAAATATGGCAATGGGGGACAAAATTATGATCCCGTTTTAGGAGACAAAATTATGATTCCATTTGGTCCTGCCTTTAGCATGGGCTGAGCTGGTGGCCCCTGTCCTTGCCTCTTGGGGGTTCTGAGGGTGTCACGACACTTCTGGGAGAGACGACGGGATTGTCTGTAGCGATCTCCGTGCCCTTGGTTCCAGCTGCGCTCCTGCCCCAAGCCCCTCTGTACCTCGTCCCTGGCCCTGTTTTCTCCCGGAGCCCCAGCAGCATCTCTGCAGAAACTGGAGCTGCTATACTCCTGTCTGGGGGCCTTGTTCTCCTTCGTGATGTCATCTAATTAGGCTGCTGTATTTCACTGTTCATTCAGTGGTATTCCGGGGTCCTTTATCATTCCTGTCATGGCGTACTCCCATCTAGAGATGCGAGGGAGGGTTTGCAGGGATCCTCCCATGAGAGGAAAAGATGGGGGGGTGGTGATTTGCCCCTTTGTATAGCTACCACTGCTACAGCTGGTGGTAGTCAGCGAGCTGGTGCCTGCCGCAGGTCATGGAGCCTGACTTGGCACTCGAAACCCTGCCGCACCATTGCGGGAAGTCTGGGTCAGCCTGTAGCCCCTCTGCAGTGCTGGAGAAGGTGGAAGGTTTTCGCCCAACCCACTGACTTGCAGAAGTTGGTTTATAACTCTTAGGGTTTGGGCAAATGAAGGAAGGAAGAGACAATTAAGGAAACTCTGTCTTCAATCTTGTTTCTTCCTGGGCTTCCTAACCATTGGTTTCTCCTTCATTTACATTGCCTATTTCTATTAAATTGGTGGTTATTATGCCTTATGGTCATCATGCCAGTTTTTCTAGGTTTAGTGATTTTTTTTTCTAAAAAGTGTATTTTTCTTGGGGTGCCTGGGTGGCTCAGTTGGTTAAGTGTCTGCCTTTGGCTCAGGTCGTGATCCCGGGGTCCTGGGATCAAGCCCTCCATTGGGCTCCCTGCTCAGTGGGGAGTCTGCTTCTCCCTCTCCCTTTGCCCCTCCCCCTGCTTGTGCTCTCTCTCTCTCTCTTTCTCTCTTTAGCTCTCTCGCTGTCTCTCTCCTAAAAAAAAAGTGCATCTTTCTCTTCTCCCTTTATAGCAGATTTCTCTTGGCTTTTTTCAATCATGGATATCTTTGATAATTTAATGAATAATACAGACTGGGAGCTGAATTTCATTTTCCTTTTCAGGGGATTTACAGACCCCTAAAACCACATCTGTGAGTCCTCAAGATAAATGCTTAGGTGCCACTTGAGAGATGTGGGGTTAGAGAACTTGGAGCATTTCATAAGGAAGACATCATAAAGGCACACTCAAAAACTAAATTAACCAGGACAGACCACCTGTACTCTCCTTCCAGAGATCCCACTGATTGGCATTTAGGTTACTCTGGGAAATGGCAATTTTGAAGCCATGTGGAACACTTGAGATGCCTATGTAGGCTAAGAAGAAAGAGTGTCTCCCATCCAAGGTAGTGGGCCTTGGGTAACCTGAGTGCTGGCCAGGTACCAGGAGGACTCGATTTCCTGCCATCTTAGAGTGGCCATCTTTCTGTCTTCCCCTCCCAGCTCATCTTCTCCATCCCCTTTGTCAGAGCAGGGCAACAAAGGAGGTGTCCAAAATAGCCCTGGCTCCCCATGTGGCAGCTGGGTTCTAATCCTGACTCTGTCACTCAGCAAATAACTTTGTGGCACTACACTTCTGTGGATTTCAGTTTTCTCATTTTTGAAAAGAGATGGCTCAGCATCCATTTTGTTGACAGTTCTATGGTATCTGTCAACTCCACAATTCCATTACGTATTTTATGAATGCTATGCTTAAATATTACTCTTTCAATAGCTTGGTTTGTAGGCTTTTTATGGGTGTGTGAGGCCTGTTCCCTGTTAGATGTGAGATATATGTGAGATTAGCCATAAAATCAGGCATGATAAACAATGCACTTTAAGACATTCAGCTTGGGTCTATAGTTGATGTTTACCCTTTTTGCATATATAACATGCAAAATACTTAAATCTCTGCCAATGTTGCATTCTCTATCAAATAGATGTGATGCCATAAACAAGAAGGAAATGGACCTATAATAAAATCAATCTTTAATTCACAGAGGAATGGGGGAGGTGAGAGGATGGGGTGGGGGGCGGTCAAATCCTGGATAGTCAGACAATGAATCAATTGGAATTCACATATAAAAGAAAATAGAATATTTCTAGACCCTGGCCCATGATATAATTCTTTTTAAAATGAGGTATTGATTACTGGTTGATAAATCTCTTTGTAACATGCCCTTTGGTTTATCTTAGCTTCTTAACGCTGGGTGAAGGAAAGTGTGAAAACATGACTTTGTTACATATGCACTGCTACTTAGGACTCTTCTTCATTTGTATGAGATGGACCCACGTGATACTAAATATGGACTTTGAGGCTAGTTAGTGTAGTAGTGAGAGGAAAGATTTGTCAGTGTCAAGCAACCCAGTCCAGTGGAACTTTCTGTGATGGTGGAGATGTTCTGTATATGTGCTGTCCAATATGGTAGCCACTAGCATGCAATATATGGCTTCTGAGCACTTGGAATATAGCCAATGCCACCGAGATGCTGTTTTGGACACCACTGGTGCAGAAAGCCACTGCTGCTTCTGCCACAGCTATTAGAGGTCAGACTGCTGCTCAGAATATAGCAATCCCAAGGCATATTTGACTCTGATTAAAAGATGAGATGCACCTTGCACATTTTATATATCCAGCCTTGTGCTTCATGGTGAGGTGGGCTCACAATTGATCACCTAATCACAGATCTAGTTGGAGGATGTGGGTTTTTATTTTTTCCTTATTTAGAAACTATGATGACCCCATCCATTGGTACCCGAGAGAGGGTCAGCACTTGGTTTGGGTGGACAGGCTCCTCTTGGGTTTTCCTGGTGCTTTTGAGCCCTATGCAGTTAATCCTCAACATGCTTTTTGCTGAAAAGGGATAAGATTTGTCATTCATGTTTTCAAGGGACAGAAATTGAGGTCAACAAGGCTGACAACTATGGAAATGTAGATGACAGCCAATTCACAGCTCAGGGCTAATTCACATATTCTCACACTCATGCCCTGTGCACAAACCAACACCCTCCATGAAAGGCTGAAAGGGAATATCAGTATTCAATCAGAAAGGATGGCCTTGCTCCAACGCTTCATGTATAATGAGGAGAAACAAAAAAGGTAGAATAATTACAGTATCCAGGAGTACGTGCCAAACATCCAGTGAAAAATGAAACATTCAGTGAATCAGTCACATGCTGGGCCATCGTAATGAACATCCCAAATCAATTATTTGGAAAAAAGTCCATGGATTGAGTTGACACAGTGTAGACTGAAAGCAACCAAAGATGATGAATGCAGAGATGTTAAAATAAACTAACCCGGTGTGTCCAAATTGTACCCATCTAAGTTTCTGGGCATCCTACCAGATCTACATCTGTGGACTGTCAGAGTCTCAGGGGAGAATTCACTTTATTTCTTATTTTGGAATGGCTTCATAGTGAGCTGGGGTGACATATTGGGAGTTTAAATATGGTTGTAATTTTCTGACTGCTCCCTCTGGTTGGAGGAGCTATCGGAGTGAGACTTTATCTTAAAGGAGAATGTTTCCTGATGATGTGAGCTGCCTGGCCCCCCATGAGGCATAGAGTAAGCACACAGAAAAGGTCTGTTGAAGGACCAAATTTAATGACTGCTCCAGAGTTTCGTCCTAGGTCAAGTAGCAGGGCCTGGCTGGACATTTGCAACATTGTTAATACCAGTAAGATAATAGAAGCATGCACCCATTCTTAGCGCTTGCAAAATCAGGTCCCCAAATAGGGGGATTATAGAACTCTTTAAACATTCTGAAAGTAGCATTCCATGGGCTTGGGGAACAAACTTTAGAAACTGTAAAAAGGAAATAGAACCCTTGGAATACTTTTGCAAATATGAAAGCCTCTAGTGTTAGTGAACATTTGGGATTTGAGTTAGGCTCCAAAGTTCAATAACAGCTCAGGGTGAAAAATAAGACCATTTGCTGGCCTAGGCAACTGGATATTTGTTAGGCATTATATACCTGCAGCAACTCAGAATTGAAGTCAAAACTTAGGATTCAACCTGACTTGATGACTGCCTCTTAGTTAAGGCTGCCCCTTAATAAGTCCTTCTGATCACCAGGGCTTACTCAGAGATTATTTCCAATTACCTTTGCAACCCACATTCAGAGAGGTGGAAACAGTTGAACTCTTGATGTTTGCTTAATTAACATAAATATTTATTATAAATTTATTTAATGAAAATAGCAAAATATTAACCTGAAGAAAGCAATAGAATTCAAATCATTTTAAATGTAAATATACACATAGAGGAAGGACTCTAGAAAGAAACATACAAAAATATTGAAAATTGGTTATAATCATTAAAACTAACATATCATTTTGAAATGTGCTCCACTTAAACATATATTGTGGAAGTCTCTTTAAGTTTTACTCTAAAAAAGAAAAGAAAAAAA